CAGCTGAACCTCGGCGGAATTAAAGTTCAAACTAATGTTTACAATAGGGTTACTATCGTCAAGAGCTAATCCCAGATCAAGCTTATTTATGCGAAGATCTACTAGGGTAATTTCAACCTGCTTTCGAACCGGGATATCCGACGTTCCGCACATCGCCGATTCCGAGAATATTCCGCATCTCGGACATACTTGCCGTGAATATGTATCGGGGAAAATAAAAGTAGTATATAGGCTAGCTTAGATTTACATAATGCAGAGCGCGACTTGCGCTTGGGAAGTTCCGTTGACAAGGGGGATCCGTAACGATAGATAGATAGGATTTCCGGATCGGCCTTGCCCATGTCAATGAGCATGGTCAATGGGCCTGTATGTACGTACCATGTACAGCAAAACCCTGTCACAGAAACAAGTCGGATGACCGCATAATAGCTGCCACGTATCTTTGTCACCGTGCCTCACTCTAACAGCACCAAACCATTTACTTAACCCGTTAGACTCCTTCTTGCAGGCACGGTAGCACAGGATCAGATAGGAACCAGACCGCATTTTTGACAGGATGCAACCAGGCGGGCCGTGTACGCCAAGAGGATGAAATCCTTTGGGGCCGGCTAAGTGACTGCACTGGACCGTCCTAGAATCGCAAGTGAATTAGGTAGTGTAGTGTACACCGACAATTCGACCTTGCAGCTTGCAGCTTGCAGCTTGCAGATGTACCGGAGACCTAGGACAGTTAGGCAAGATGGACCCAGACTCTCGGGCTTAGTAGTAGCTGGACGTTAGGCTCTCTTCAAGCTTGTAAGTTACAGTAGGTTGCAGTAGGTTAGAGAGTATTGATTGGATATTGAATGGCACGAACCAATCAATATACCCAGAAAGGGTATTCACGTGACTGAATATGCATGCAGCGAGCCGCTCCCGCAAATTGAACCCCATTTTTTAACTGGACTAGTCGATATGGCAGTTTGTTTGCTGGCCCCCGAATCGTTGCCGAGTACGGTGGGTACCGAACCAAGCAAAGTCCGCACATTTTCCTTGTTAGTCCCTTCTCTCAACTTTCCCACAAATAGTAATAAGCCTACTGGACCTACTGGAAAAGCCTCTCAGACAAGCGAGCATACACTACACACAAGAACGCAAAATACTTACTTATAGCTACCTAGTTATTAGGATTAAATCTTAGCTTTTCTTAACCCTAATCTGCCACATGCTGTAGCGATAGGAGTACCTAGCACTGAAACCGAGTGCATTGAATAGTTAAGACGAAATCGATTCCCCGTTCTAACTTTGTTTTTACGCAGATAAACCCCTCACCCTCTTCTAGCATAAAGGAAGCAAGGGGAATGGATTAATGCTTTGTTCCAAGTAGAGTTCCAACAGGGAATCCCCTTTTGAGATGGTCGCGCTGAAAATCCGATCACCATTGACACAAGCCCATCTATCATGCGTTACGGCGGCGCCTAATACAGGCTACTCCGTACGTAAAAGCGAGTCAGTTGACGACCTCTCGCTTACCGAACTGTTGCCCATCTCCTTTACATAGTACTTCAAAAAGCCATCCACCGGGTCTTATTGGCTGGCACGGGTATAGCCGAAACCACTCGGCGTATTCTTGCTAGAACCAGAGGAGCCGGCATAGTCCAAAAAAGCAAGGAAAGATGCAGATAATCTGTCGATATTTACGCTAACTTTGGTGTCGACTTCCGAACTACTGGGGAAATTGGCGCTTCGCACCCCACCACGGAAGTCTTGCGTCGTACTTCGGTCCACCTCTTCTTACTTATCCGTCCACGTACGTAGTGCGGTGTAGTGCGTTGTATGTATTGGCATGTATTATTGTATAAGACTGTGGACCGGGGATGCATGTCACTGATATAATGTGTCCCTCTAGAGTCGAGGTTCTAGACTGCCGATCAGCACGCTCTCATGAAACTGAACCCTGACGAGGGTCGCATCGTTGGCATCCTAAAGAATTGTATAGGATAGGTATACCATGTTTACATATGGATTTATCGTTTGAAACGTCGTGCAATGCAAACCTCGTCTACCAGCCTACCTAATCTCGATCTACGCCAACGGCCTAAGCAGGGAATAGCCTATATCATGGAGGGGCGAGATGGTTCGTTCTTATAGCTGATTAATAAGAGCGCATATAGTGGGTTAGCTACTAACCAAGAGATAGTCGGGCGACTTGGCAGAGTATTGGCTGGGCTAGTCCTTCGCGGAAGGTCACGAACCATGGAAACGATTCCGAGAAGGCTCTGGTGCAATAAATCGAAGGTCATTGGATGTATAAGGGAGGCTTGCACATTGTTTGCGGCTGTTGTCGGATTCGAAACGACTCAGGTGTAGGTACACACTAAGTAGTTCAACGCCACGTTTTCCCTGCCGCCTGCAAACACCACCAACATTAGCATGGCGAAGCCATGGGATTTCGTAGGTAACACAAACTTGCTTGTATTATAAAGTAGAAGCCGACTGCAAGCGCATGACGCTGACCACGATGTTAGGCATTTAATCACTCACACTACCACATTTCCCTATAATAGCCGGCTCTACATGCTATCTACCTACATATTAATAAACCGGAGGCGGTATATAAGTATATGGTAAACATGGACGGCTGTATGTTTGTACAGATACAACACACCCGCGACTAATTTCATGAGTGTGACGACGATGGTGCTGAGACGATCCTATGCAACAGCGGCATAGAGAAGCGGCGGTGAGGTTTTATTTGAATATATGTATATTTGAAGCCCGTCTATGTTACAGACCGAGACCGACAATTCTGTAGAGCGTACCTAATATATATTACTAGTTAACGCCATACCTACTACCTCCATGCCGAGCATTGTTTCGCATCACATCCGGATGAGCTACGTAACTACCTAACCTACATAAGCGGCTAACCGAGATTTAATAGATTCTGTAGATTTTGTAGATTCCACACCTTCTTGGCCTTCAACTTGAAGCCCGATCGTACATAGATAATACGGAATTACCCGACTAAGGTAACGATCCCTTGGGTCCCGCATATCAGATCTCGTTACGGTTACACCTGCGTCACTTTCTCATATACGCGCTTGGATTATTGCCTTGGTGTTACATAAAGACTTACTTACGGCGCTTATAACTACCTACATACGTACTTTGAGAGTTGACATGGATGTACCTAATCAATATGGGAATCAATAATATGAGGTATGTATGTAGGTAATCAATATTTCATCCCGTAGACAGCCGCCTCTTACCTAAAATACCTAAGTTGATATGTATTGCATCTTAATATATTATATACTTACATATGGTTATAAAGCAGATACGAAGCTTTACCACACGACAGAAATTACTTTAGGTGATTATTCAACATCACCTGCCTCTAGTGTTCGATACTCTAGTCACCTACATTCGTAAGAAAATATGTACCTCCTAACATAATGTATACGAAGAAGGCATGTTACCTTGGTAATTACCTGCTACGTTGGGTGTTACTAGCGTTACCTACACGAGGTAGATCAATGGCAGGTAGAGGGCAGGTAGAAGACAGGTGGGAGGTAGGTAAAAAAAAAAAGGCAGGTACATAAGACGAGAGTTATATTGCGACTCCATTGCGACTCCCACAGGAATTTAGAAGATCTGTCATTAGGAAGGTAGGCAGTGTAGGTAGGTACCTAACCTAACCTAGCCTAACCTACATAATATTAGATACGGTATGTAATCCATCACATTTTCATCTTTTAACCTAGTACCTGATGAGCACCAGGCCTACGGGATGCGGTTCGGGTACGCTATGTTGCTTTATACCCGGGTATGAGGGAAGAAGGAACAGAAGGTTTCATCGTCCATTCATCCATCTCGCGTGTTTCTACCCCGTGTAATCCAATCCCTTGCTGCCGGTGCGGCAAGAATTGTTACGACTGGTTCCCAACGGATCCAACTCGGTGGGGGGTGCCATACTTTTTTATCTTGCTATACCTATTTCTTCGTACATTTTACCCGACATGCAGGCTGACAGCATACAGAGAAACCCAGTCGGCCGAATGCTAGTCGATGCCCAAAGCTCTCATCACACGCAAACGATCCAAACTCCGTACTATGGATGTGTATACTGCTGCTGCTGCCGCCGCCGCCGCCATCGTGGTAGCAATTGGCTCGGACCAGGTATTTACGCCTTCAAAACCTTCAGCCGTTTTTGTTTCTCTATCGCAAATAATTACATACGACGCATGTCAGTCCAACGAGCTGACGCCATCCATGTTCAATTTTCCTCCATTCACCCCACCCTTATCACAAACGCACTTCCGCTTTCTTCACCTTGCAGACGCCCGTGACGCCCGTGACGCCGTACGTTCCTACCTCTTACGTCCTTTCGCTCAAGCGGCCTACGCTTAATAACGCTCGGTCCCTTGCGGCTAGGCCCAACCCAAGGCCGACCCAGACTCGTCTCTGCTTTGGTGCCTTGTCCATGCAACACCAGCCATATCATCTCAGAGGCAGAGAGGCTAAGAGGCGTGCTACAGCAGCAAGCTTTACATATGCACTTCCTCTTGTGACTACGGTTCGCTGCGAAGCTTGCAGGTCCACTTGCATAGCCACAGTAGAACCTAACCACCCCTAGACTTTCTTAGCCTCCAACCCGCCTGGAAATCATGAGTCATCGCATAAAACACGCCGTTGGAATTGGATAGCGTAGCACCGCGCATCCTACTGTGAAACCCCAAAGAACCCAGCTGCATCTGCGGGAGGCACTGTCCGAAGCGCACCCTGCCAGGGGGTTAGCAAAGACAGATCCATTTGAACCATGCAAGGCATGGGCATCATATAACCGCCAAGGAGACCAACTCCACGATTCCATAGCCCATCGGCTCCATTTTAATTGCTTTTCATGGTTACAATGATCGAGCCCGTCGTGGCGTGCCGTGGTATCCCTCCCGCTTACCGTTTGTCCCGATTTGCCCGTTTCGGTGCGTACCGTACCACACCCAAAGTAAATTAACGCATACGATACCGAGGCGGTGAGTGGGTATGATTGAGTCCCATTAGATGCCAAAGTAAACAAAGAGTGACAGGTTATGCCATGGAAGTGTTAGATCCGTATGCTAGTTATCCATAATTGCTGTATTGTATGTACATGGTTATCCCGTCATTCACTACACGCCCCGGTGTGACTGACTACAAGGATCTACAATTAAGCTCCCAACGTAAAAAGTTATCGAGCAAAAAGTCGCCGGAATGTCGACGAGAAGCTTACGAGAAGTGTACGATATGTCGCCGACAACGCATATTTTAAGGGAGAAAAGCTAAGACACGAAATAGCATATAAACGTCAAAATAATCAAGACACCAAACCTATTTGTTGAGAGGGAAAAAGCTCGAGAACAAAAGACAAACTAGGGAAAATAAAACGATCAGCGCATAACGACAACATGGCCGAGACTAATAGGATACACTTTAAGTAAGCTGCATCACCCCTTTCCTTGAATCTAATTCGTCGACAACACATCATTCCTTCCCGTTCTGGCATATATTCCTTGTAGTTATACCGAGATGTTATCACCATTCATTCGGGAACTATAGTTTATCCCTGTATGGTGATTCATCATCAAGCAGATATCGTAGTCCAGTTGGCTACTATGCGGAGGAAGAAGGATATGGTAATGGTATAACATGTACCTGTGTACCTTGTTATTTTACTGCCTCATCTGTTTCTTTGCTTCCCGCCAAGGACAATGGGAACTTACGGGCAAGTTTTGCCTTGGATTCCATGTGGCTACTTCTTTTCCTTGGCTAGCTTTAGTTCATGTATGGTTCTTATACTGGGCCAAGAGATGATCATGTCTGTGGTCCAGCAACTAGTAGTGTGATGCATCTGAGAAGCATTGACACGCAATCGAACCTTGTGGATCGATATGTGGCACAGCACGGCGCGGGCAACAGACCAGATGCCAGAGAATGAATATCAGCTAAAAATGGCATCCCTGCAGCGAAGAGGCGTCAACGTACGACTCCAAACATGGTAAGCTTAACGAGCGCCTAACGGAAGAGATCCAAGCCCGATTGGACTGGATCGGCGTCGACTGGGCCAGCGACGACGAAGACGACGAAGACGACGACGACGATAGCGATGAAGAGGCAGAACAAAAGCCTACCCAATCTCGTAGGGAAGTACGGTTGCTTGACTATGCATGCGGGACAGGCACAATGTCGAGAGTGGGTTTCCTATTTCGTGGAAATATTTTCCCCCTAAGCTGCTTTTCGTCCCTGCTTTATTACATCACCTCGAGTATTGTAATGGATTTTTCTGACATGTTCCCATAGGCATTAGCTCCTTATACGACTCAAAGTGTTGGTATCGATATATCAGAAAATATGGTTGCAGCGTATAACTCACGTGCTGAGAACCAGGTATGTATAGGGTACCTCTCGGCTTAGTTGGCAAGACATGTCTAAACCCTTCTTCGTAGGGCTTAACTCGCGATGAGATGCATGCCGTAGTGGGAGATCTCGCAGCGGCAGATGGGCCGCAGCCTTCGGAACTTTTCGCAGACTCGCGTTTCTTCGGATTCGATCTGGCGACTGTCGGGGGTGGGCTCCACCATTTCGCGGACCCGGAGCTGGCTGCCGACCGCCTCGTCGAACGTCTACGTCCCGGTGGCGTCTTACTGGTCTGGGACTTTCTACCGCACGGGCCTCACCACGGACTTAATGCGCATGCAGTCTTACATCACGGTCTCTCCGAGGAAAGGGTCCGAAAAATGTTCGAGCATGCCGGAGCCGGAAAAGGCTTCTCTCTCCAAGTACTCGGCTCCGGCCTCATGCCCGGCCATTACGCGCAAGAGGGCAAGGAGCTTATGAAGAGACAAATATTCCTGGCTAGAGGAGAGAAAGCTGCATAATTGCAATACCTTAATAAGCATTGAGGAATTGGCGTTTTATTTTTATTTTTATTTTTGAATAAGCATATTGGGACGATGCACCCTCAATTATTCGACCATGAAGCAATACCCAAATATAGTGCTATGATTAGTCTACTCTGTGCTAATTAAATTCGGAATATATATATATAGGGCCAAATAATTATCTTGAGATTTATTATCGTGGTCTGCCCGGCGTATCTCGAGCAGCCACGATGTTAGAGATGTGGTAGTAAAACCCTTCAAGTATTTCACTTACCTTGTATGTCCTCGTCACCCACTCGTCCAATTAGTGTAGCTTTATTAGCTGCGGCCCCGAAATTAACCCCGGGGATCTTGTGAGGGTATTATATATTGCAATTATAATACTTGATCTATAAGGCTATTAGTTATTTTGAATCACCCTGTCCTGTTCAGCTTTTCGTGCCCTTTTTTTTTGTTTTTTTTAAGGAGTCGATGCTGTTTAAGGGTATCTAAACGGACTGCGCGCTTGATGATTACATGTTTAATTGGACCTTTAGGTAATTCATGAGACTTTAAGAAACAAGGTATATGTTTCGTCCTTAGTTCTTAGGCTAGGTTGATCTACGGCCATGGTATTATCGTCGGAATCCGCTTCGTTTTCTTTTTCTTTCTTTCCTAGCTGGCTGGGTAGTACGAAGGGGCCCTGGAAGGTATGGAAACGACTTGGTCGTTCCGTAGGGGACTCTAATAGCAAGCAAGCAAGCAAGCTATGGGAGTCCGTGGCTACCTATGCATAGGTTAGGTAGGTACCGAAAATATTTTTAACCCTAGATGAGGCATAGGATTCTAACATTGGGGGTCTGAGGATATACGTAGGTACGGGATGATGTCAATATCATAGTAGTTTGTCACACGAATGATATGGCAGACCATACCTACAAGGCCCGGAGGGAGACTACCTACTTCTGTGGTTCAACTTACCTACCTACCGGTTTTCAGATCGATATATAATATGGCTTATACGTACCATAGGACCGCAACGCTAATTTTCGTGGATATGATATTGTGTTAGAGCGATCATGAGCTTCGACTGAGAGGATCGTGACGGCTCGGTATGTTGACGGTTCTAGCAAAACGATACTTCTTGGGGTGGTTGGCTGGCTATGAGGCTTTGCTAACATAGGGTCTCCTTATTTATTAATGTAAAGGATGAAGAAACAAGCGTCTCTAGGGGAAGAATTCGTACTTACCTGGGGCTGATGGGGTATTATTCATATCAAAACCAAGCATCCTATAAAGCGTTGAAGACAGTGCTTAACATATGAACGTGCGCTTGGTCAAAGTTTTACATACCATACGAAAGCAAAACAGCATGTCGAAAAAGACGAGAGAACATTCCAACCCTAATAGCATTACATTAATAATTACCTCTCTAATACTGAGACAGGCAACCTGTCCTCTATCCACTCGCTTCGGGTAGGTATCTACTCGTTCCGAATGTCGAAACCACACCTTCTTCCATCCACCACCACCTTCTCTAGGTTAGATACAAGTATTATCCTTGCCTTCCTCTTCTCTAAACGTATATTCGCCCGTCTTCTCATCCCTCTCCATATGGAAACACCTCTCGGCATATACCCCCTGAAGATTCTTCTCGCGCCACGCCGCGCCTAACCGACGCACCATAACCGGCTTCCACCCGCCGACGTTAATCGTGATGCGTCGCCACGGGCTCCCTCGCTTATCGCGAATCAAAGCTTCCAGCATATCCACCGCGGCATTATAGTCTAAATCTTCGTAATTACGTACCGCGTGGTGAGCGCGCCAGACCGTCTGCGTGTTCAAGTTGAGGGTGTGGAGTCGAGGGAAATTGCAGAGTGTCTCGAGGAATTGGTCAGGGTCGCACATAGCTGCGTCCATGCCTAGCTCGAGGTAATTGAGATTAACCAGTGCGTGGGAGAGCTGAGTAAGATCTTCTGCCCGCATCGTGGGATACCGTTGTGTCTCGTCGCCAAAACCGACGTAATCCCGGAAGCTCAGAACCTCGAGCGAATTAGCATGGCAAAGTAGCGAATCTATTGGAAATAATTCTGTATTGCACGTTATCTTAATCGTTTCAAGAGCCTCGATACGCCCTATTAGCGCGTGTAGAATTCTCGTCACGTCTTCCCGTTGGTATAAGGTATGTGTGGTGAAGTCTTCGCAGTGAAGTGTCCGGAGGTTATTGAGTTGAGGAATAGGTACCGAAGTAAGGAATTTGAATAGGGGCACGTCGATAAGAGTTAAATGCTCTATCCGCGAGAAATTCCAGTGCCTTCGAACCTCATCAGCGCTGTGGTTCCAGTCGTATGACTGAAGTAATATCCCTTTAAGAGGCGGCAAGCGTTCATTTCCGTTGAATTCGAATCTTGTACCTTGGCCACGGCCGTTATAATTGAGATTTTGTGCGCATTGAGCCTGGACGAGGAATCGTTTTAACGAGTCGATGGTTCTCGTGAGAGTAGGACTCTGCATCTTTAGAGAAACAAGGTTACTTGCAGGGATATGCTGGGTATAAGTGCTATATATGTCGCTGTAAGAGTCCTTCAGAGGCAAGTCTTCAACATATATCTTGGTCTTGTTAACCTTGATGTGGTATAGACTCAATATATCGGACGGCGTCGAGAAAGGAAAGTTCGCTCCTGTAAGAGATTGATTCTCGACGTAACGCCATCTTTCTATGTCAGCAATTTCAGTTTCGCAAAGTTCAAAAGAATTGAATACCTCAAAGACGAGAGCCTTTGTACTTTGTCTAACACCCGCCTAGTGCTTCTCGCGTCAAGATTGCTTCTTGTTTCCACATGTCTAGTAAATAAATAAATATTTCTAAAGTAACCAGGGAAATGCGTCTCGGCGAGTGGGTCTATTATATGCTCGCTAAGGTATAACGTTTCATAATGTATGGGCGAAATGATTGTTTCGAATCGTCTAGATAACCGGCGAGCATCAGCTAGCGTCCTCGAGTCAATATCTCGCAACTACGAATATACACTGTTAACTACCAAGTCTTTAAAAGAAGAGATATGGGAAATTGAAGAGTAACCTAATACCTGTTTAAATATGATATTTAATAATTCCGTACTGAGGCTGTCAAGAAATAGTGTTTGTGTAGAAATATCCACTATAGCTTCTGTTTCCATGAGGCGAACGTGGCTAATCTTTCTTCTTTTGGAATAAGTGGATAATGAGTAGACGGGGTAAGTCTTCCGTATGGTCTTTACTTGAGTCATGATCGGTATTGAGAAGTCCTAGGTAATGTTGGCAATGTTACGAGCACGGCAGCTCGACAGTCTTATTAAAGACGACGCGAGCTTCTGTTAGGTGGCAGATAAATCGACTGATAGGGCGACGTTAAATGCGGCAAAAATTAATGTGACAGGTGACGAGAAAGAAACGCTAGCAGTGACGCGGCGTCTTGGGTATTCATGGGACGAAGATGGTTTATTAGACGAGGGAACGAATAAGAAGGGTGGTATAAGCGACGTTGACCTCGAGCTAGGTTCTGACAGATCGAAGGAACCACTAAACCGCCCGCGGACAAAATAGCGAATATAGACCATGTGAACTTGCATACTATCCGGAAATAGTATACAAATAGTATATCGTAGACGGATTAAATGGTAGGTCGAGATAGGTGCGTAGGTATCTACATTAGATCCTCTACTCATCCCTGAGACCAAGTCCCAAGGCGGAAGCTAAGTGAGATTGAAATTAAATATTAAACTTAGCGAGGACACCGTCATTCTCGCGAGGTTCGGTTAACTTAAGTTGGCTGTGTGAAGTAGAAAGCTACCTAAGTAAGTAGGAATTCCCGAGGACAGATGAGACGATGCAACCAATAGGATATTCCTAACGGTCCGAACTCGCGCCATTGATCGTCTCGGTTCGAACCATCATCGTATAGGAGGATTCTTATGCATTACCAGACATCAGCACATCGTTCTTTGCATTTGTAATGCACTAGGAAGAGGAGATGAGAGAGAAAAACTAATAAGAGTGTGTTGGAGTGTTGGAGTGTAAAAAGTACGTACCGAACTTACACATGAAATTCGCAAGTTTCGCCAAAAAGAGGCGACCCCACATGGCGCTAACGCCCGCTTCTCAAAACGCGCGGTGAAGTTCGAGCTTGCCGGGTTACCTTTTTGGCCGCCACGCGCAAGCCACGGTCTCGGAGCTGGACCGAACCCCGCCGCCTTCACACGTGGAATACCTATGGGCGGGACTTGAGCAACCTAGAATCATATGATTTCTTTGCTAGACGTATAATTAGTATAATTCAGTATTTATCTTGGTAATGCATTCTCTACTATCGTTCTTATAATCACCTCAATTGTTCTTCTATTACTGTTAGTAAAGGTTGAAATAAAGCATTAAATTAAAAAGATAAGGTACCTACATACATCCTCTCCCATGTGTCGCTTACCCTATTAGGAAATAAATAAAACGGGATCGTGCATCTCAGGGTTTTAGGGGCATACATACCTAACATATGTACCATCTAGCATACATATCTACACACGCAGACAAAGAACAAAAAAAGAAAGCAAATACGAACAACAACTTAGCGTCAAGGGTGTGTGTGAAGAAATGCGCAAGATCGGGGATCTACCAATGGGCAAGATCGGACAAATCAAAGCGGTAAAGCGGGAACAGGGTATCATAGGCGTTCCTGAGCAAAATGGGACAAAAAATGCAACCAATGCGCACCGGACCGGCCACTTAGGACCCGCCAGAAGGGTTCGCCCGGCTCTGCCCGCATCGTCCAATCGCAACTTTGCATCTGAGGCTCCGCCGGCTTTTTGCGGGTCCCCGCGACCTGTGCTACATATACCTGGTATACATGTACATATACAATGCAAGCGTATACAGAAATTCCTTGGGTATTGCTATTATAACGATTGCTACCTGTACTCGCTGGTTGGAGTAATGATAAGAAGAATAGTAATATCTTGGCAGGGCAGCCAAGAGGAATTTTTGGTTCAACTAATATACATAGGTATGTACGAGTAAACCTGGCAATAACACGTATGTAGGCTAGATGGTTTGTCAGTCTGTCTGATGTTTGCATGAATACATCGGTCGACAGAACTTACATACAAACGGAATCCCTGTAAATAAGATAAGCAATGCGTTGTTATTAGCCATGCACTGCTTC